TTAAGGTTTAAAGAGCTTGTGCATTACATATTTATGCCGTTCTTTGATTGTGCAATAGACTTTCACTGAAAACGTTTGCTGAGCCCCAAAAGCATCTGCGTAATGTTTCTTTTTTGGCAAGAAAATTATTTTAAAGAACAGTCACCACTCAGAAATGGTGAAGCAGCAGTGAATGTATTTGGGTTTACTTTAGAAACTCAAGTTTCCTGATCAGAAGAGAAAAAAGAAGAATGTGTAAGGGTTTGGACTTTCAGGTGTGGTTATAATACTTATACTACTACTACTACTACGACTAAAAATGAGAATAACAATAGTATTTGAATAGTGCTATTCATTTAGTAGAGCCTTTTATGGCACTCAAGTCAGTCCATAATGTATCACACAAAAATCGTAATAAAGCATACAATAAGCAATAGAGTCTAGATCAACACTGAGCTCAATTTGGTATTATAGAACAAGATAAAGTGCACTTAAGGTGAATACGCTAGTTTGGAAAAAAATGGGTTTAAAGAGCAGTTTTGAATTCTTTTGTGGATTCCAGTGTGCAGATGTTGAAGATGCTGAGGCTGATGGCTAGTAGTGCAGGTGAATCAGCAAGGATGTGACATGTTCAGTGGTCTTTGCACATTTAATTTAAACACTGGAAGGCTCTGGATGGCATGAAGCTGTTGAAGATGCCTAAAAGAACTCCATTGCAGAAGTCAATGCATGATGTGATGATGTGCTAAACATTGACTACGACTTCCATGGAGTGTTGTATGAAAGCAGGACTGTAGTCTGGAGATGTTTTGCTGGTTGAAAAAGGAAATCCCTGAGATGTTGTTTATGACTGAGAATGAGAGAACGAAATAGTGAAATAAGCAGTCAACATCATTGCTGGGCATTTTCCACTGAAACTGCAGTGCACTGATGATGGTCTCAAAAACACAGATTCAGACTTCTGAGGTTTCTTAAGTAACAAACCTAAAGAACCAATCCTTTTTACTTGCAGTGCTGGACTTTCTGCATTCTTCTTCATGATCAGTTCGTAACATAAATGACTAAATTGCTCCAATATTACAACTAGTTTTACAATATTTGATCGTAGTCATAGGTGAGCTGGTGTGCTTGAGTGGCAGAAAATAAGAAAAGAGGTGAGTGACAGCTTGAGGCAGGGACTTCACAGATCTGTACATAGCTGGAAACAGTTGGTTGGGGTTACATCTAAACCATTTTAATGATGGATGGGATTGTTTTTATGAGGAAAAAAACTTAATATAAATATATAACTTAGATACACAGGGATCAATTTTTCAAATTTTAATCAGTGACAGGAGAGGAACTTTACCCTGTGTGGAGCATGTACGCTGCAAAAAAAAAAAAAAGAAATATCTTAAATCAAGATGTGATAGGTTTTTTTCTGTTCTTGCTTGGCCAGATATTTTTATGTGATAGAATTTCAGTTGTTTAAAGCCTTCTTGTTCTTCATTGCCTCATCATAACTGTTGACTGAGATTGTATTATTGGTTCTGAGTAGCATAGTGCTTGAAAGCTGTTTAATGGAGTTCAGTGTCTAACATCACATCATGCACAGCAATCATTGATTATGGTAGACATAACTAAATACAGAACAAAAAGAGCGCTTAACGAAGTCCCAGTAACAGAACTGTGTGTATCAGCTGATCTGGGTTCCTGTAATAGATAGGCAGGGTGTTTGATGTTTATTTGAAATTTAGGAAGTCTTAACTGTTACATTTGTTTTCTTGCCTGAGGTTTGACATTTAAATTTTTACCTTGACTTCTAATAGTCTTGATGTTTTTGCATCCCGTGTTCTTACCAGAATATATCCTGGATAAAGAAGTGCAGAAATGTACAGTAGCATCCTGAATGGGCGTGTCAAGGCCGTAACACCTCAAGTGCAGTGAGTTACTGTGCTAACAACGATCCATGTTTTCTAGATGTGTTCAAAGTGCTGCCCTACTTGTCGTGAAGAATAAAAAGATGTGAAGAGAAACTGTCTTCCTAACATCCATTAAGAGTGACTCACTGTTCACCACAGTTGTGACATTCATCTCTTTCTTTAAGCAAACCAATCTCATTTCTTGTGATCATTCAAGTACATTAATCTTAATCAGGATTACTCTTAATAATCAGTTAATACTGTTTTCCTCTGTAAATTTCAGTGCATATAGACTTATTTAAATTTAAGCACATTGTTCTCAATTTGGGAAAACATTTTAAAAATCCTTTCATTGTATCTAAACCAAAAACACATTAGTTTTAATTAATCTATGTTTGCTTTGAGACTAGATGTTTTAACTTGTTTTAAATAATCTTGGCCAGTGATATATTTCTTTACTTATTTTTGGTGGCTGATAATTTTGCTTAATTCATGTAATATTTGCCACATTTTATTCCTTTTTTTTCCCCTTGTTTTTGGGAGCTGAGCCTCTGATCTGTATGGACATTGTAGCATTTGGTTTACATGTTACAGGTCTGGGCAGATGGTGTACGGGGTTTTTCAGTGCTTCTTTACTATTACCATCTGTCTGCAATGGCTGAAAACAGCCATTTGAGCAAAGTGAAAATTACCCAAAACAATAAAGTTATGAACTGTAATACACTGAGCTAAAAGTCTTTATGAAGCTCTGTAGAGAGCTCTCAGAGTTGGATGCTATTTTTCACATCAGGTTATTGTTATGACTGCACTATGAGCGACCCCTTTCACATACAAGTAGCCTTGAGATGCATTATTTATAGCTGACAACAACAGTGAGCCTATGGATGGACAATATAAGAAAAAAGTACAGGTAAAGGAATCTTACTTTGACAGACATTAAAGAAAGAAAGCAAGTAAAGTCTAGAGGCACATAATGGGCGACCAGGGCAAAGCTGCTGCATCGCTTGATGTTTCTGAGTGGCCTGTACCAGGTATTACTGGACAAAGACTTTACACGGACCTCCACACACCCCAGTGCCGAGTCTGTGCGTGTTGCTTGGGTGAAGGTGGACACAGGGCCATGGGTGATATTTGATTGTGAAGGCTGTCTCTCAAGGGAAAGCAACAGTCCTGGCCTCCACTAGTGGAAGTCTGTGAAGAGACTAGAGTGCTGAGAGGCCCAGGAGGCTGTGGACTAGTGCACCTCAGAGGATCAGTTTAAAGGAAGCTGTGGGGCGAGAGATGGAGGACAGAGGGGCTCCATTATCAAAAATATAATGAGGGAACACATTTAGGGTTTGTTCAGACTGAGCTGTATATTTCCTTCACGGTGGTTTTCATCTAATGCATTAAAGTGAAACTATCAAACAGTTTTTAAAATAACTAATTATCTTTTTATCGCCCAGGCCTCAGACTGCAATTCATCTTCTTTCAAATTCAATTTTGTGCACGTGACCTCAGAGTGTAGGTGTGTTTGTATGAGTATTAAAGCAGGTGGTGAACAAGTGTTTGCATGCATGTGTTTATGTATGTCTACAATTATGTGTGTGTCCCACAGGCTGCAGGGGACAAGGTCAGAAAGGGCTGCATTTTAATTAACAAATGCTCGGCCCCACTCTGCCATCAGCCAAGGTGTTTTTATAGCTAAGAGCTGGTACAGGCCAGGCGTGAAATTATCCTCTATTGATTCACTTCAGTGTCTTTGTTTCTATCTGTCCGACTCCTTCTCTCTCTATTCTACACACATAAAAACACACAAACACACCTCTGTTCTTCTCTATCTTATCACTTGTTGGTGCTTTCATTTTCGTTGTGTCATTTTTTTTTTTCCTTTTCCCCCTTTCTCTTTTTCTTTTTGTGCCATTTGCTCTGTTCCATTCTCTTGCTCAATATCCTCTTGTAATCTGCATGCTGGGAGCCCAGTGAAGCATTCAACGCTGCACTCTGCAGAGTTGGTTGAGATGGCAGTCACCACTCACCCCATCATGTTCCTGAGCCATTTCATTAGACAGCAGGTCGCTCCCCAGAATGAGGAACAGCTGCCCTATCTGTTATGTTTTAAAAGGGGTGTCTAGGTTGTAACAGGTGCAGAAGGTAGGAAGATACAGGATGTAGTTGGATATATACATAAATTGTTAGATAGACTGACATGCAGGCAGTAGGACTGCACCGATTAGTTGAATGAGAGCAACTGGTGTGATAACGGAATAATTGCTGATGTAATTTATTGAGCAAACTTTCCTTTGTTCCAGAATTTGCAGTTTTTCTTTGTCTTATGTAGCAAAAAGTAAATGAATGACTGTTGGCCAGAGAAAACCAGGCAGTTAATCAATGAACCGAGTACGTAATCATCAGAATTACTGATAATGACAGTGATCATTAGTTGCAGTCCTTGTATGTACATATATTGACATACAAAGACAGAGCCATACATAGATGCACTAGTTAGGTAAGTAAATAAATACACAAATAGATACCTGTGTGAAATGTTTGGTTCGACAAAGGTGCTTATTATTTGCAATTCTTATCTGTGTCAAAATACAAGTTTCAGTACCAATTTCACAGCAACTATACCTGTTTTAAGACCATATTCAAAAAAGCAAACAAGATAATTCAGTGTATTGTTGCTCTTTATACCAAATTAGTCTAAATGATCAATACCTATCCGTATTTTAATATTCCAGCCAAATATGTACATAATAAAAGTACAATCTAACATTACTGAAACCATCTAAAGGTCAACATGTCCAATCAAAGACTGCGAATCTAACCTTTTGTAGAGACTGACTCAAGCTAGTCAGTAGAAGATATTAATGCAATTAGAAATATCTCAGTGTTTTTAAGACCAACAGAACAATCAAAGAGTTCTTCAAGTCTTTGATGGTACTGAAATCTCTTCCTAAAGTGGATTAAAAGTTGTTTTTTTTTGTCTACACGTGCCTACCTACATTTAATTTGCCTTCTTGAGCTTCCATCGTGCTCAGTCCACTTCATGTGTGAAGTCTGTGTAGCTGTGGTTTGCTAACAGATGTTTGCCTGCTAATATGGGTTTGTCAGGGGAGATTATTATGGTTTACTCACTCGACAGTTGCTCAGCTCCTCTGCAGACAGGATGATGGTGCCACATTTCTTCCCTGGGATCCCTCTGTGGAGGACAGAGAGAAGACTATAAAAGATTCAGTATTCATCCACGATTACCTCCACATTGATAAAGGATACTGTGAGAATTACGACATTTTCTAACTGTGACCTCGTCCTACTGATGGTACCCATCAACAAAATATAACATTGGTGGAAGTCATCCTTGACATTTAGAGAAAGACTGACTCGTACTTTTTTTGATTGATTTTTATTTTTTATTTTTTAGCAGACAAATGTTCAACCTTCGCCACTGCTGAGGAAATTGTAACTGTCTGTAAAATACTTTATTTTAGTGTTTGCCGATTATTCAGATCAAATCAAATCAAGTTTATTGTCATTTTGCTGTACATATACAGTAGTACAGGCAAGATGAGAGAGTGTTTCTTCGGGATCATTTAACTAGTAAGTTTTGCGGAATGCACGTCTGGGAAAAGACACTAAACGTTGACTCTCGCTGCCTCCTGAAGGGGGCGCTGTATCCATGTGCGCCATGAGCTGTATGTCCGACTGGGATGTTGTCATGGAGCCATGTTTCTGTTAAAGCAAACACACAGCAGTCCCTCCACTCTATGGGTTTCTCTCAGCAAACGTAGCTCGTCCAGCTTGTTGTCAAGGGAGCGGACATTGGAGAGCAAGAGGACAGTCCTGCTGGTCTGGAGGGGTTAGCCTTTAGCCTAGCATGTATCCCGGCTCTCTTCCTCCTCCTTTGTTTATGTTCACACCGTTTGTGCTTCCTTTTCTCTCGGGTAACTGCTGGCGTAGTCTCCGATCGGACTCCGTGTATGTGTAGCACGTCCACATCGCATCCGATCACCACAATTCCAGCACCGTTCACTGTCCTGATGCCTTATTACCTCCATTTAGAGTGGTGTAAAATGCTATATGTCGCCATCTGCTGTTTCTGAAGAAGCTGATTGGCAGTTTTACATTTCTTATGATGAACAAGGCTAATGAATCTTTAGAGGATATAAAACTATGATGGTTTACCCATCTTTTAGGCTGGCAAACATATTTTATGATAAACTCATCTAAACAAGTGAATCAGGAGTGGAGACATGAGTTCTGTTTAAAAAAAAATTGAATAGATTCCGGTTTGTTTGCCCCATTTTTCTATTTAGCACATCATCACAGCTCATATTACTCATTGTCTCAAACACAGAAAGTCATTTGTGCTTTAATTTCCTCTACTCGTGTCTTCATTATTAGTATTATTACTCCAAGTTGTAGAAGCAAATCAATCGATCATGTTTTGACCCGTTCAAAACACATGAAGCAAAGTTTTTAACCAAAGCTAAAACAGACGATCAGACTTCATAAGCTCAGTTTATGATATATTAAAGTATTAAAGCCAGGCGTCTGTTATGATTTATGGAGCAACTAATGTGTTTTTGGTGATCATGCATTTCCTGTGAGATCTAATAAAGTTTGAACATTTGGGGAATCAAGAAAACAAACAGAATATTCATCACAGGTACAAAAAAACCAAACAAACCCTTTTGTAAACAGAATTTCACATTTGTCTTTATGCTGCTATTATTGTCATGTCTAATTTTTTTGCTTCACACGGGGGACAGTAGGATTGAAGTGGCTCAAGGCCAAAATAACTGTTCCAGCTTCTCTGGATCTTGACATCCTCGACTTTACATTATTATCATTTAATGCAGGTTGAGGCTATGTGCTTATTCACATGCCTTTAATCCATTTTGATCAAATCTCACTTTCAAAGGGAAAGAAATAGATGGCAAGATGTGGGAAATCAGAAAGGCCATCAAAAGCTCAGCCCCCTTGTCTCGCTTATTACAAGTGACTCAAAAGGAGCACAGAGGGGGAATGGCTGATTTCTTTGAAGTCTCCCAAATGTTTCTTTTTTCTCTTTATTTCTTGAGCAGCTTTTTTCGTTGGATCTTTTACTTTCTTTCTCGAGACAGTTCTACCGTACAGTAGGAAGCATATTTTGTCTTCATGTCTTGGTAGTGTCTTTGTGTACAGTGTGCATGGGTTTAGGTTTTTGAAGTGCTGGCAGCCTGTCAAATACGACTAAATCTCTTTAGTCCTTTTGTCCGCTCCAGTTGACAGATGGAATTGAATTGAAATGCCCAGGAAAAGGAATTTGTGAATTTGGAAATGAGAAGTTATGGAAAAAATATAAAAGGCTGGTACAGAATGTACAACTTCTGTGACGGTTACCAATAGATAACATTTGTTTACACTGTTTTGCTTCAACATTTACGTGTATTTAAATCCATATAGCTGTAATAAACTAACAGATGACAATTCCTGACATGCTTCCTGCACGAGTGAAAGAGAATCAGCCAACAATACCTAAAGACCCAGTCACACTAGAAGACTGTAGCTGGTTAACTAACCACCAACACACCCGTTTGGTAGATGATTCAGTTAAAACTGCTCCCCATTGTTCTTTATACTTATCAGCACTAGGTTGTTTAAACCCATTTAGCCTTTTATTGCACGGATAGTACACAACTTCAACCCTTTGAGCAAATGCAGTGATGTTGACAATTCAATTAATTAATTTCCCCCGAAAATCTGGGAGCCAGTTATCCAGCAAGAAAGACCTTAATAATTGCCTCCCTATTAGCTGTAGCTTTGAGTTACAAGCTTCTGGAAACCACTGAATGGTCTCACTGCTACCATTAGTGTCCTGTCTGTCTTCATTCACATGCTGTCAGTGACTGAATGTTGTGGTGACAGGTTTTACTCAGTATCCACCAGCTTTAATTGTGATACATTTAGATTGTACCTGTGTTAGTGTGAAGGTTGTAAGTCTTGTTCTTAACCTTGCAATTTTATTCTATTGTAATTATTTGTGTTCTTTTTTTGTTCTTCTCAGTGCAGCAAAGCATTTTGGAACCTTTCATTGATTAGAACTGTTTTATCAGTGAATTATCTCATGTAAGGTCTGTTTACTGTGATTTATTCATCAGCTGTGTGTCTGTATGCTCAGTATTGGGCAGAAACGTATTAATTAGTAACATGTGACAGTGTCTAAGGGATTACAATTTGGATTCAGTAGTTGTGTTACATTTATTTTAGTACCCTAAGTAATGTAATGTGTTACCTTTATTGATGAGAGTGAGTGAAGTAATTCAATTGCTTTGTCAAGAGTAAAGAGTAATTGATTACCATTTAACAGCTTTATCCAACACTGCTTATCATGTTGCACTGTTTTGACAGTGTTCTAAGAACCTCTAATTTGAATGCACATTGTGGAGTTGAGTATACATGAAACCTGGTACAAACCCAATGCAGCCACTTGATTTAACTGAAGTCTACATCCAAAAACATGTCATTTTTTACATTTAAAGCCTGAAATCAACGTTTTAAAATAGAGAAAAAATAAAAAAGCACTTCTCCTTTGAAGCCACGACCAGACAGCCATCTGTTTAAAGTACTTCAACTGATTGAATTTTTTAGTATTTTTCTATGTTTAGCAAATTCTGTATCAGGGATGATACAGAATGTCTACATTCTGATAATTTGAAAATAAATGCCAGTAAATTTAATAGCTAATTCAGGCTTTCCACATCCACAAGAGTCCACAAGGGTTCACAAGGGTACACATGACGTAAATTTTGTTATCTACCCAAGTAGCGCAGCCCAAAATTTGTGACTACATACCAACATGTGCAACAAATGGTGTTTAAATGAAGAGAGATCGTGTGAAGAGATTCTCAGTCACCCACACCTTTATAATTTATCATTACAAGAGTTGTAATTGAACTAAATGACGTTGGTGGTGCTTTGAGTTGTACATGCTTTGACGGTGCTTAAAACACATTAAGAAGTTGTAAATTCTCCAGAAATCCTGTGCTTTGTCTGCCCACAGTGCTTGTCACACATCCCAAATAACCACATTGACACGGTGCTGTGTAGCTCCATCTGTAACTAGCTGCTATATCCTGTAAAACGCATAAAGTCAAAGTCAGCCTTTCAGAAACATCCACAGAAGCTCCATTCGTCTCTGTTTTTGATGCAAGAGGTAATGGAACCGTGTAAATTGCAGACCGACGTTTAGCTATTGTTGTCTGAATAGAACTGTATGTACGTAAAGGAGGAGTCGGAAGTTAGAGGTTAGAGATAATCTTGGAAATGAAGATTCCAAACACAGCCTTGGCAACTAGAATGGATTCAGGGATATTCACAGATTATACGTTAGTAACAGTCGTGCATACTGTAAATACCTGTGGTTAAAATGTACATTTTAACATATTTCCAGCTGCAATTTTCAAACATTTTCCACAAAAGATGGACAGACTTTACTTGATGGTTTCAGGTTTTGCACACAACATGCTAAGGTCAAAAGACAGGATAGAGTGCTCTCCAGCTGTGTGTATAAGTGCTGCCAGCGCTGTTGTCAAGAGTGTCTGTTTTAAGACGTAGATGGAGACCTTTGATCGGCACAGTAAAAGACTCCAATCGATCCTCAGGTGGGGAAACCATCCGGGTCGCATGGTGCAGGAAGCTGTGAGAGGGTTTTTTTATCTTCAACCTTCCACACATACACTCACTGATAGACACTTGGCTTTGACCCTTTCAGCCACCGGCTCGAAAACGCAGCTTTTAAAGGACAAATGACTCCACATCTACATCCGTCTCCACTCATTTCTTCCTTCACCTCCTGCAACCGGATCAATTCTCTCTCCCAGAAATAGCCCATTATCTTAGGGCCACTGAAAAGCTAAAAATCAACAGACAAAAGAATTTGGGCTCCATGAGTGGAAGTGCACTGTGCTGACAAGCTGTGGCCACACAGTTGCTGCAGAGCAAAAAACCGCTGTAGCCACAATAAAGCCACAGGGACAGGCTCTACACCACAAGCCTGTATTTTGTATTTATTAAAATACTTGCTAATGCTTTTCACAAGGTGCATGTGAAAACTAACTACATGTTACTCTAAATTAAGAAAAAACAACTCTATGAATAAAATGTGGGTGGCTTACAGACAGAATATTTTGTATTTCTCAGTAGGGCTTTCATATATTA